GAGACTCGAACCCAGTTTATTAATGTTGTGGGGGAGGATCCACAAAAATAATAAAAAACAGATAAAACATACACAATCAAAATATCCTTAATATATCGCCTTGACAGGACATCTCATCCAGACGCCCTGTGACCCAATCAGGATAAATGCTTAGAAGATGAGTGGATCTTCTCATGAAATTTGCCACAAGGAATTTGTACTAGTTTCCGAAGGGAATATAAAACCGAACAGTCTAATTTGAAAAATATTGTTTGTAAATGTTTATATAACAGATAGCAAATGCATACTGCAAGAGTCATTTTATAAATTCTGTTATTAACTAGGGACTTGGTCAGAAGGCAGATAGAACATTGGACAATGGTTGAGTAGAAACAAATGAGTTCAGTAGCTATTAGCAGACTGAACCAGGCCTTCGTACAGATTCATACAGATTCATACAGTGATCAGGTGCTCATATCTGGGTACTGAATGAGAATTCAGGGCAAGATGGGAGCCAAGAAAATGAGGAGGAAAAAATGGCTGTGTATTATCCTGCTTAACAGCTTAATAATACGGATGCAAAGATAGCCGAATACGAAAAACAACCCCAAGCTATAGCAGCATAATAATAAAAGGCACAGATCAGACCGTCAATATTAAGTCACGATGCAGAACAACTAATAGAGATGATCACAAACAATATGACAAAACTCACTGCGTAGCTCACAAATAGCTCTTTGGTCTGGATCCTTTCTCTGATCAGCTATTTTAGCCATAGGGTAGATGACTGCAGAGGTAAATAAGCAAAATTTGAAGAGGGAATGTGAATGTGTATCTCAGATCTGAGCTGCTTTTTCGTTGTATGCAAGAGGAGCATGATAAGACAGCCTTGTTGCCTTTTGTATTACACAGAACCATGTGAAGATGATCTCAAAGACACAGTGATGGAATTATTTGTATGTCTAGAGAGGGAAAGTATATATTTTATATTGACCCCTGAATGAAGCAGGAAGGACAAGGAGATATCCATAGTGTATGTTTTTATGTATTTGTGTCTGAATAAGATCCGTTGCAGCTAAATTTTAAACATGTCTGCAACACTTCAGGGAAGAATTTCAGCACAATTTCAGTCACTGACATGATCTCGTTGTGTGTAACACGATGACAATAAAACCTTGAATCAGATAGCAGAGAATTGCAATATTACATTATCTTTGTGACTTTAATGGGATCCGGATGATCAGAATTGTACAAACATAAGCTATGACTGCAAGGACATGAAAAGAAAACAATCTAGATATATTTCTAATGTGAAAATCAAATAACTGGTCAGTGTTATACTGCGGCTTCAGAATGAACACAGGAGCAATTCAGATGCACAAAGACTGACCTAAAGAAACATCAGTCTAGAATTCAAGGAAATTCTAAGTCATGCACATGTTATTGACACAAACTTCCTGTTAAAACAGTTTTCTACTTAAATTCCATCAGGTTTGTTGAAAAACCCTTTATGTAAAGTTGTTACCTTTATGCTGAGCAATTAACACCATGCCGGCTAAAAGTCTTCACAAGGAGCAACATGTTTAAGGAAAAGAGCAGAAGATTTGAACTGAAGTTCACTCATTCCATCAGTCATGTTGATTGCAGCATTATATCAAGTATTGTGGCCTCCTGGGTTGTTGGTTCAGTTTCTACCCCTGTTCTGGTCTGTGTGAACCTTGCATGTTCTCCCTGTGTTCTCCTATGGCTACTCTGGTTTCTTCCCACAGCCCAAAAACATAAACTGAGGTGAAGTGGTATGGACTGGGCGTGGGAATGTGTGTCCAGTGATAAACTGGCATCTCACCTAGGGAGTCTCCTGCCTTGCACCCTATGATTCCTAGGACACTCTCCGGGTTTACAGTGACCCCTAGATATTCATTTTTCCACAATGGTTATGGAGAAATGGATGGACAGGACTTGGAAGCCTATGTCAATTAAAAATCAAGGTGGCCAGAGCCAAATACAGACAAATCCTGGAGGAGACATTACAAGTGAAAATGTTTTTGCAAGTCAGCAAGACAATCACCAAAAATGCACAGTAAACCGTTCAAAGGTCACTATATATAGACAAGTCCTGTTTAATAATCACACAGAAGTTTCAGTTTTTTGTGATCATTTGTCATGCAAGTAGGCTTTATCCATTAAATTATCCTTCTTTAATAGCACATCATTAAAAAATCATTGCTAAATAGTCAATTAACCTCAGCCAGAAGTAACTGCACAATTGTCATAATGTAAAATATTGGACAACAGTCAGGGGACATACATATTGACAATGTAACCAGAGTTAATCTTCATTAAATCAACACAGACAGTGACAGATGTTTCACCTTCAATTCTAAATTATCAAGCATCAAATAAAAAAAAAACCTGAATTAAATTAATCTTGTATTATATCATGTCTTTCATATTGCACAGGAAACAGTAAGTCTGACAAACACGGAATTACACAACTGGATTTGAATTAGGATATGACTTAGTAACTATAAATCATTTATAATTTAGAAATGATTAAAGCAAAGCCTTCAAATTTAAATTTAAAAAGGCCGCATGGCAATTATACAGAAAACACTATTTGATTTTTTTCTTTCATCTGCTGCTAGCTATATTTCCTTTAATAGTTACTATCATTTCTTAATGAAGGTAGATCCGCTGCCGGAATTTATACTTTAGGAAGGAATGTCTGATTGTTCAAGCAATAAAAACACTACAATAAAAACAATTACAAGTATATGAACCATGCCTCTAAAAATTCACAGTTATTTATATATTTGCCGAATATCAGTCTGTTTATGCTGCTTTGTATGAACGGCTTGAAATCCAGAGAAGCATAAAATGTTGTGAATATAAAGGAAACATTTTTCCAGCTTTAAAACACAGAACTAAAAGCAATGAGGTACTGTGGAAAATGAGAATTTTTTTCATGCTTTCCTGCATCTATGGTTTTAATAATACCTTATTTATGGTATCTTGATGAAGACAGAAAATGCTTATAAAACTCTAAAATCATAGATGGTTAGATACCTTTTTGAGGTGCACTTTAGGTTACAATGAACATATTAGTGCATAATTTAAGTCAAGCATAATTTTCAGGACAAATTCATATTGAACAGAAGGCACTGCCTGTCTGATTAAAAAGCCTAAATCTGTCAAATTATATATGTTAAGGGCATCAATCAGGTGACGAATGCAATAATAACATGTTGCCTTCATGTCATTAACAGTGCTTGCCATGTTTTTTCTGATTTCTCTATATTTAGACTGATGCAGATCATCCTAATTACATTTTACCTCTGTAGAAAGTCATCTTGTACATTTGATGAATCACTGCTTACCATGTGTTAGATAATTAAATATCTTTGAAAGCATGTGTTAAAAATCAAACATTAATAAGAAAGTGACATATTCTAGATGGTAAGACATTTCAGGTTCAGTGGGTCGTGTGCTTCTGGTTTACAGTTTGCATCCCTGGAGAGTCACATGAGCAGCTCAACGAAATGCAAAGATTTGGCTGATTTGAACAGAGGATGCAGAAAGCATCCAAAACCAGTAAACCCCCCAATTATTATAAAAGGCTGTATCATCATCATCACAATTATTATCACTTACATTCAAACATATTGATATATTTAATGGAATAAAAGTCTCAAATACTGACCTTGAAAGGCACGTCTACTAGGCTGAGAATGCATGTGTACAACAAAGTGGCATCATTGTAAATACAGAGGAGCCATTACCTCTCAGAGCTCACCAGAGTGCACATGGTGGCAATGGGGTGAGCAGCATCTCACCCCACTGGTGACCGAGGGCACCAGTTGTCAGGTGTGTAAGCAGATATGTGGGATTTTCAATCAATGGACCACTTTCAGTGTATATCTGGAAACTGCTCAGTGTGCAACAAATTTAAAATTCCTAACAATTCTACTACTGGATCTTTTAAAACATTTACAAAGTGTGTGTCAAAGGTCAGGTGAGCCCTAACAAAAAAGGGAAAAAAAAAGCTATGAACATCAAAAAGAATTCAACATAAAAAAGGCAGCTTATAGCCTTATAATCACCACAGTTATGGAGACACACTGAGGCCAAAGAGATCTGGGAGTTTATGAACAGAACTGGCCTTTTTTCTTATGGAAATCTGGCTTTTTTTCTCTATCATTAATATGTCCATTAATTTCCCTTCAGTAAAATAAAAGTTCATGCAATGTCAATGAATTCAAGGACTAATAATATGCACAGATCTTTATTAATTACTTGAATAAAATAATAATATTGCATATTATTAGACCTTCTCCTCGGAAACGCCGCCTCCCTCAGACAAGGCCATTAGACATCCAGACAGGTAGGGTACTCAAGGCAGCTATCATCCCGCTAATCATCTTAACAGCAATCCAGACGTTTTCTGCTGCAGTTCAAATTAAAGATAACATGTGTATCCTACAGTAACTTGTTTAGATAAACCAAATTTATCTTGATAGGACACAGGCTGCGATTCTCCCATTTTATTATGGGTATTGTCCCTGGTGACACTGAGGCCAGACCGATTAGACTTGTATTTGTTACCTGTGATTGTATAAGATAGAAAACCAGGTGAAACAGTGTCATATATTGAAATGTACTAAGACAGTACTGACTGTACCGAGCGGTATTTATAGCCGCCTTGATTCTGAAAACGGAAATGTTTAAAAAAATACATATTTTTAGGAACACTTGTCCTGCATGCGACAGAATTTTCAGAAGACGACATGACAGCAGAGACGAAACAGCACATTTGCCTTTTCCACCAGCACACAAAGCCATTCACTTATATGCTTAGATGACATATCCACACTGAAAAGGCATGCGTGCACACTCACACACACACTCACTGAAAACACACCCGACAGAGTTCAGACGCACACCCAGAGAGAACACAGACGACCGTGAGATCAGATAGAACCACAACAAACAAAAGACCAAACCATACAGACAAAACTTCCAAATGATTGTCTTAAGAAAGTTTATTCATTTCATTTGTGTCTTTCCTGTTTACAGCTCTTGTGAATGAGTGTTTTATCTGACGCATTGTATATATTACATGCAAATACTCTCAAGCTCAAAGTAATCCATAATTACTTTGGATTGGTCCCCCATAAGTTTTATTCCAACAATCTTTAAATATTACAATGCAAAAAAGACTACCCGACTCCATCATCTTTTTGAATATCAAAATATTTTCACGAGCCTTGAAAATGCTATACCTTTTCTAAGCGTTGAACTTTCTTTCCTTGTTCTACTAAAAGCCAAGGTGACACAGGCACTCTAAGTATAATATTTAGAACACATTAAAAACAGAAATTAAATTCTATTAGTAGCACTAACTCGTGTTAGAAAATAGCTGGACTGTGTGTTGGATGTATGATGTGGTATCTAGTTGTACAAATATACTACTTTTAAAGAATTTTTCAAAAGCAAAGCTTGGGAAGAGTGACTTCCCTTGGTTACATGCAGAATCACCTAGATGCTAGAAACCAATCAAAACGTAAAACAAAAAAAGTTCTGTACATTGCAAATAGTGTTTCATTTAGAACAGGGGTCTCAAACTCCAGTCCTCAAGGGCCGCAGCCCTGTGTAGTTTAGTTCTTTCCCTTTTCCACCACAAATGATTCAGCTCAAGAGCTGTGTGGTAATTAGCATAAGGAGTTGAATCAGGTGTGTTAAATGAGTAGTGTAGGGCTCCGGCCCCCCAGGACTGGAGTTTGAGACCCCTGATTTAGAAGATTCTGAGAACCCTCAGTTTGTGAGTTTTTTTTCTGAGGAGATGGTGTGGCCTGATGAGCATAGTTCAAAGAGTTTGGCTAAGTGGGGGCAGCTGGGGAGGGGGGCAAGCACAATACTGTTGTGGTTGCCAGAAATAGCTCGATATCCTAGCCATTACACCTCTTTTCCTCTTCCTTTCTTCCCTGCTGTAAAATAAAGGGATGAACCAGTTATTGTAATTTGCTTAAATACAGAGGCGGACATTTCAGGTCCAGAAAGTAAAAATCCAGACCAGGATTTTCTTTCAATCAACCAGTTGATCAGAAAGAGTCACAGTCACAGAGTACTCAGCTGGTTGGTCGAAAACAAAATCCTGGTTTGGATTTTTATTTTCTGGATCTGAAATGTCCGCCTCTGCTTAAATAATTTGAGGGTGATCATGTCTGTGCCGATCACTTAGAAATTACAGATCAATAAACAAACAGCACTTATAGAAACTCGATTCTTAATTTGTATCTTTATACTGCATCTGCTTCCATTTAAAAAACAACCTGGTGCATCAGAATTAACATTACAGTAACATTCTGGCATGTGGTGTATAAGTCATTATACTATAAAAGCATCAGCCTCATCAATGTCGCTCTGGATGTCACTGACCTTTCGCGTTTGTCTTGACTTTCGGAGGGCAGGGTTTGGACACCTTAATGGTCGTCTGGCATTCTGCGTTGTACAGAACCTTCTTCAGCGTCCCGGATCGGTTCTTGGTCCCAGTGGCTGCGTCACACTCCCCCCAGCTTCCAAACTTGTACTTGCAGTCAGCTAAAACACAGGTTACCCCACGGAGTCAAGTGGGAAGCGTCACTGATTTAACTAGCTAAATGCATCCTGAACACCATGGATGTAACGCTTACCCAGAACACATTTGCATTTGATGTTTTGGTGGACTTTGTAGTTCATCCAATTATTAATATTATTGTAAATATTACAGTATGGCACATGACAGTTACAAAGGTAAAGATGAAAACACGACTCATTAGGCATTAAGGAGATTGTAAAACAAAAAAAGGAAAGCCCAGAAATTAGCACAATGTAAAGGGGTTTTATCAGAATCAGAATCTTACATTATTCGTCATGGACATTACATGCCCAAGAAATCTGATGTTGTGTTACAGAGAATGCTGTTGACAAATATTAAGACTTTAGACAGCATTAGCTTAAGGGGATATGCAATATTTATATTTTGGATGAGGCAGGATCTAGACCGTCCTGTTCTCTTACCGCCAAAGTCCTTCTTCCAGTTGCACGGCACCTTGCACTTCAGCTTCTTGGTCTGGTCGTTGCAGGTACCCACGCGGACTCCGACTCCACAGTCCCCGATGTTGGGCACGCAGCTGCCATACTGCCACTCTGTGCAGTCTGAGGTAGTCTTGGTGGCCTTTTCTGTAGCAGCAGAAAACAGAGAGAGAGCGCTGGGTGATGTCCATGAGCTGGCATGATGCCCCTTACCTGGGTCTCAACACTGACTGAAAGCGCTCAGGCGAGCGGCTGATGGAGGTCACCTTTCTTGTTCTTTCCGGCTTCGGTAGCCACCACCATCATGGCCACAAGCAGCACAGCAGACATTGGGAACACACCCCGCATCCTAGGTGCAAAGAGAAAGCATCGCATCGCATAAAATGCAACACACACATACACAAAAAAACTATCAAATTTTACGCACCATCATTTCAGCCTGTGCCTCTCCTGCTGACATAAATCTCTCAAACTCAATCAGATTCATCAATGTAAAAAAAAAACACACAAACTTAGAATCCAGTTTACTTTGTTTGCAAGCATTACTTGTACAACCCCAAGAAATGTACCTGTATTTTGAAAGGAGACATGTATACACATAAGATAGATTAGGTTAAAAACGTAAGTGTCTTCAGCTACATATAGTACATATAGGCCTAGAAGAGAATTTTTATATCCTCTGACTTACAGCAAGACCCCATCCATTGCTGACCTTATCCTACTAAAAGCTTTCTCTCCTGCAAAGCCTCTTTCAAACCAAAAGTTGTTCCCAAGCATCTTTCCCCCACCCAATATGACACAATTTGCTCATATAAACAATGTAATCACCACTTATGTTGCAATAACTGTAATAGCATTTCTCCTCTGATTAAAAAACCTTACAATCATTTTAAACCATCTTATGCTGAAACTCAATGATCCAAGCTACCTTACTGTACAATCTCACCACTTACACTTCAAAGTACATTCTGTGCCTTGCACATTATTTAATCTCGGTAAAAAAAATAATCAATACCTGTGTATAAACAATCAAGATATCTTCTACTTGTTTGCAAAACTGCTCAGGAAAAAAATCATGACACAAATAGGTATTATGTTGCATGGATTATAATTAATTGGTGAAATAGCTACAGCAGATTGTCAGGACACGTACTGAGGTAACATCACCACGTGTTCCAATATCTGAAGCCACACTATTAAGACCATTAGTTAAACTTCCAGGATTTGCTGCATCTACATTTGTTGTGGCGTGAAACATCGACCTTCCATTTTCCACAAATAAAATTATAGTTTTCTGCTGAATTCATTTGCATGGTTTTAAATGATTTTCACAGTAATAAACAGCAATAACAGGTGTGGATGAGAGGCACTAGATAATTTTTCCCACACTGCATTTTAAATGAGCATGAGAACCTAAGGCCATGCGAAGACAAAGCATCAAAAATGACTGAAATCATATCCACCCACCCATCTTCTGAACCCTTATCTTGGTCATGGGCATCTTGGAGTCTATCTCAGGCTGCATGAGACACGAGGCAGAGCTGCACCCTGGATGGGATGCCAGTCCATCACACAGCACACAAGCTACGGGCAATTTAGATATGCCAGTTATCCTGACTGCATGACTTCAGACTGCAGAAGGAAACCCACACAATACAGGAAGGACAAGCTAACTACCTTCTGACAAAGTGTGGGTGGGGTTCAACCTACCAACCCTGTCTGTGAAGCAAGAGTACCAACCACTGAGATGCTGTGCTGGCCAGAAAACTATATTCCTTTGAAAAAATTGCTATAATACAGCATTGGGAAGCCTTCAAATATGTTTATATTTTGAAAACGTATTTCTCACATAGGTTTAAAAATAAACCTATAGATAAAATACGTTTCCCGAAGTTTCGCTTCAGCACTGCCCAAAATATGACTCACTCAGGATACATCAGGTGGAGGCTGATTATTAACTGCAAAGAAAAAGTCCCAAACTGCCGAACCCGGACATAAACATGGCATTTATGCTAAAGACAAAAGCATCCTTGGAAAGGGGAGGAACCATGCCTTCTCATTTACTGGGAGCCAAGGAACACCCAGTCCTCTACACTGAGAGTGCTGTTCCTGAGAGAGGAACCACTTTGCAACCCAAAGGGAAGCAGAAGGAAGTCACAGAGTCCCAGAGGCTCCCACGGTGCTGCAGTATTATCTGTTGGCGCAGTGCTGTACCCTGGCGACCAACCACGATTCCCTGCAGGGGGACGGACAGGTACCAGCACTAATTCTAGACGCACAAATTTCTCCAACCTCTTTTCCTCTGGCTCTCAGAACTGAGCCAATAGTTCGCATGGTAATGCAAGCTCTCAGTATGACCCCAAAGTAGAGTATGGGAAAGCTGCTTAGTCCAGAGTCATCCTGAGCACAAATGAAAGGCACAAAGACGTTTCCTCTTGCTTTCGCCATTTAAAATTCACTGGCCTCAGGGTAAAAGGTCCCTGCAAGTTTTATATAATGTTTGTCATTGTTACACCTATGTTTTCACTCGTAGGTTACAACAGTGGTAACGACACTCATTTAACACTCGCTACTCCTAACAAATCACAGATTTCACAAGCCAATAAACAATTACTCAGACAGCAACAGAGTGTTACTGTTGGCAGAAATTGTACAAGGTAAAATGATTATGGATTCCACTGCCTGTAGCTATAAAACTAAATTTGTATCAGGAATGACATAATGATCAGTTAAATGAAATTGATTAAATGGCCACAAAATAAATCCTGGGGCACTGTTAATTTTTGCCAGCAGTGGGAGATACTGTCACAATTGGTGATTAAAATTGTATAATTTAGCCATAAAATATTGAACCTTTAGCCATTTATTTCTGTCTGTATGTCTTCACATCTATGTCCTTTTTATGTCATTTTTATGTTCTCAAAACCTAGTTGTAGGAAGTTTTAACTCTGACATTCATAATCATATACCTTTTAAAATTTGGAAAAGGCCATCAGTGGAGTTCTTGTGTTTTATTGCATATCGTGCTATTGAGTTTAGCTCATTAAGATATAGCTCAGCATGATCATATCGATAGTATGTTTTTTGTTGTCGTTTTTTGGCTGTATCCCCATTCTTGCAGTCTTGCTTACTCACAGTTTGCTTATTGTACTTATCTAACTCAGAGCTCCAGATCTCCAAGCCCTAGCCAGGAGGCTCACCTTTTAACCTCGTCACAACTGAGTTTCCTTCAACACATCTGTTGATGTAAGTCTTCATGTTACTGGTGTATATTTTATTTTCACCAACCATCACCTTTGTATATGAGTATCAAAAGTTAATTTAATTATGAAAAACAAGTCAAAGTATGCCTAACAATAAACAGGACAGCTGGATCAAAAATTAAACATAAAACAAAATAGCAAAAACATGACCTTTGTTTTATAGGTCAAAAAAAAAACAGGGGAGGTAATGACAAGTACCTGTCAATAAAATGGAAAACCAGGGTGAGCCTAATGCACTCTTCAAACAGTGTTGACTTCATCTGTCCCAATCAAAGTCAAATATGGCTCGAGGGAACCCAGAAATGGCCGCCTGCCTGCACACATTTCCACAAAGTCAAAATGAACTTTCTCTTGGCTACAGGACCCCGCTGCTGCAGCTGGAAAGGTCGTCGAAAGTGGACAGCCATCTCTTTCGCAACTAAGCCCAGTGTCCTGAAAAGCCGACCACTCAAGCCACACAACGGTTTAGGCTTCCCCCATACCGTTCTACAGCGGGATGTGCATCTTCCTAAATCTCGAACTCACTCCATGCTTGTGAGCCAACAATGGCAGCAGTAAAGTAGCAACCTTCTCTTAGGCAAATGGTACTGCAAATTAAGAAACCCCTGAAGCTAAAGCGAAACCCAATGAGGTAGACATTTAATACTCTTTAAGTGAGTCCATAAAACACTCTGTTCTCCCCCTAAATTTGGCTTGCCCGACAAAAAGCTCTGCAGCACTGGAGAGCAGGGCATGATTAAACACTACCAGCTCCATAAGTCTTCCTTTGTCTCTGCTTTTCCAGCATTGTTAAAAAGTTATGGAATAGTCAACCTCCTTCTGCAATGACATTTTTCCCCAGGCAGAAATTATGTGGGCTTCGCCAAGCAACACTTTTGTCTCAGCAGAAACAGCACTCAGCAGGCCCATCTCACCCACCACGTCCTACCAAGAGGCAGGCTTCAAGTCTCATGAAAAGCCTTTATTACTCTCTGCAAAGAAAACAGATTTCTTGGTTCAAAACAGGCCTTTTCTACTCCCCATTCATTTCTTTTTAAAAGCCTGACAACTGGGATCCCATACCGTGCTTTAGAAACAGGTCTTTCTTCCGCCCAGCTCAGTGTAAACTTATTTGCATATGTAGACAACAAAACCTCAAAGGATAAAAGGGGAAAATCACTGGAAATAGTTAAGATAACCTTTTTGGAAATGTACCTTACAGTCAGGATTGATTATGCTTCTCTTGCAAAGTATGTAAAATGAAGAGTTAGTTTCAGCAAAAATTTGTGAATTAAAATGGGTGTTACTGGTCAAATAGCACACATTTTGCACTTGATGCATAAACATTCTGAATCAGTCAAGTTATCTGGCTTTCTATTAATTACTATTTACCGTGATAATAAAACAGTATAAAATACTTGCTATGGATTCACAAAAAAGAAGGACACAAAACATAAAAAACACAAATGGCATTGCTTTCACACATCAGCATACATATGGGCGAAAAAATAAGAAATAAAAATGGAAAATCAAATTGTATTCACTTCAAAAACAGGCTGACTGATGACAGCTGAGGTATATCTCTGAAAGAAAAAAAAAGTTTTTTTGTATTGTGCTTTCCATGCCTTTCAGACCCTAGGAAAACATTAACCCAGAACCGAGAGGACCTTACAAAAGAGTATGAAGAAAGCCAGCTGGAATGTAGGTCATGCACCACTAATGACATTCACCGAAATTCCAGACCTCTGCTTTCGAACCCCCCTGCTGGGCAGTACTGAGTCTGAAGGGAAAAGTGCGTACCCTAGAGGGTCAGCACCAGAGACCGAGTGTCATGTGAGCGAAGAGGGGTCAAAAATATATTTGAGTGTCTTATAGAGCACTACATATAAAATAAAATTTTCCCTGATTTATCTATGCTGGCCTAAATTAAATATATTTACTTATGGAAGTAAACAAAATCAGTGGAGAATGAGCTTGGAAATAAACAAAGGTAAAGTCAGGCATTTAAACCTTGTGAGTACTAATATGTACATAATCATTTTCTTCCTCTTTTAAAAGATGTCCAAATGTGATTGATTTAATCTAACTTGGCCATGACCAATAGGGTCAAAAAGAGGTCAGAGCCTATGAAAGACTGACTCTCCTAAACAACAAGCGATCGATAGCCGTGCCACTCACACCACTCACACTGACACGAAAAGGCTGGTGATGAGGTGGCTGTTTGTAAAGCCTCCTGCAAGTAACACATTAGAATGCTTTATTATGGTATATCAAAAATAGGGAGCAAAGATTTACACGGTGGTAATTCAGAAAAAGTAAATCGACTACTTTTAAACTAATAACTTAAATGGAATGTCTGACTCTATAAATTCCACTTGAGTGGTTAAAGTCTGTCCACCACCACCACCCCCCTCACCCCCCAAGTAAATCCAAGTAAAAGTAATAAGATGCATTAAAAACACTGATTTTGCACTTTTATTTCCCCCTCTGGCAGCATGGTGAGATGTTTCTGATTTTGTCAGGAATATCAGTAGACTAATATTTCTGAACTCTGCAAATCTGCATTTTTTGGTGTCTGGATCTCAAATAAATACTGTACATGTTCTGTTGATGTGGTGGTTCTGTACAATTTTTAAATATTCTAACCCCAAGACATTTAAAAGAAAACTCGGCATTCCGATACTTTTCTAACTTATCAGTTGCCCATAAATATTATGAAAAGACCTAGACTAGCATAGCAAACCTCACTGTTGTCAGAAACTGCACCAAGTGCACTAAAGGGCCAAGTTATGTCTGATCCACATGCCTGGAAACACTTGGCTTATTCTTCTAATACAGTGCACAATACAAAAATTTTGATTTTGGTACAGTTCTCAGTTACTGTTTCTTTGCATTCCAAAAAGACATTAGTCAAACTGAAAAAGCGGGCTCTTAAGGGGAAAAAACAGTCCTGATAAAGTAGACAAATACCGCACCCCTGCCAAGTTGAATTTATCTGAATACTGAAACGGTTTGATGGGAGAACAAAAGCCGGCAAACAACATACAAGTAAAGACAGACAAGTGAAAAGAATGTTAAACAGCTTCCTGTGAGACTTAAGGGCCATTCCCTCTTCCCGGTTTAACTGTTCCCATGCCCCGCTCTCGGTCTGACAGAAAGACAACCCTGGTCCGCTACGGGGCGATTCCCGTACTCATACTTAACTTTATCAGATGTGTTAAACCGCATATTTTTAGCAACTGCTCCCCGAAATCAGATCGGCCGAAAATCGAGGCTGTTTGCATACCTCTAAGTGCTCTTACATAAAACTGTAACATTGAGGATTAAGTTCTTAGCGGCAAAGTAAAACTGCTTTGCATCTGAAGAGATGGGAGAACAAAAGGACGCAGGCTGACAAACACTGGCAGGTGAAAAGGTCCAGCGTGCTGAAAGGAGAAACGTGGTCAGTGGGAAGCGCTCATGTTCTGGCAGTGTGATCGCAGCGCCTCTGAAGGGCGCATTCAGGCCATCGGAAGAGAGAGATGAAGCATGTCAATACACTGGAAGGAAGAGTCACCTCATACGGAAGACTCAGAGACAGGGAAGTTTGCCTAAAGTTTTATAAACATGCAATTAAAGCAGCCGGGCACGCCCACCAAACTAAGGGGAGGTTAATGGATTTCAGTGGAGGGAGAAGGAAAATTAAGTATAATTCGTACAGCACTATAATTAAATGGATTATCTTCTAACTAGTATTTGAATCCACAGATAAAAGTGTACTGCAGTACCGTGACTCACAAACGCCCGTAGGAAGGGTGTGCAGTAATATGGGTACCGCAGTGATGGACTCCCCAATTTCAAAGTTTAACACTTCAGACGTGCACAAGAAGACTCACTGTTAAGTTCATTTTTAACGGTACAACTGCGGCAAAACTTTTTGAGGATTAACAAAGTCAATTAACCTTTCAAGTGGAATAATAAGCCGCTCGAATGAGTTTTAGTCAACCGTCCTTCCTTTTCCCCGTTTAATTCTATGTAAACTATTCATTACTGGGGAAAAGAAGCGGTTCTCATTGTATAAAGCGTCCAGTGCGCTCATCGCCACAAATGCAACATAAAAAGGCAGTTAGATAAATTAATTTAAATCCAACTGTAAATCTTCCATACAAGTAGATTGTCTTAAATATTACAATAATAAGAAACACTATAATAAAATAATAAAATAGCAACACATTACAGTAAAACCTCTAAACAACATTGCAATCAGGATATTGAGTGTAAATTTTCATTCTATAATTCATAATTAATTTTCAATACTGAGGAACTATATGAACTTACTTGAGTTGTTTATTGCAAACTTCCTTGCGCTTTTAGCCACACTACGCTGAGCAGTCCGGTGCTTTCTGGTGCCTGTGGCCCCGTCCTTTGTTTCCCAAAAACTAGTTTGAGCTGGTCACATGTGGGCAACATTTAAATTAACCTCTCGGTGACATCATTCATCACGTGACGATAACTGGCAGTTTATAACTCGTAAAATAAGTGTTTCGGCTACCAAAACTTTATAGGCTATTAATGAAATGCTGTAGTAATGGTTATATTTAAATCTTTTAGTGCTTCCGCACAGACTTTCGTAGTTCGTTTAGTATTGTACTGCATCAGAATCAAATAATTTATTTTTCCATGTTCACAATTAAAACACAAAGAGAGTTAAAGATCACAATATGTTTTGGGTTTGTAACATCCTACTTAATGTAGCACTTGCGTTTCCTCACTATAGATAAAATAACTTTTTGTGTGTGATCTCACAGTTAGTCGAACTGGACAAAACATAAAGTAACCATAGACAGTACATATTTACGAGACATCAATACTAATGAATATACATGCATAAGCATACATGGTTAAATCAACTCAGATGCAGACACACCATGGAGGAATGTACACAGACACACAGATATGTATGTAAATGTATGCAAATCACTGGAAGATCATGGTGAGACTAAATTTAAACTGTCCCAGGCACAGGGACACATGTACAACAAAATGCCTTTAAGAACATGCACCTTATATATGTAACTCGTACTGTACACACACACACACGCACATATATATATATACTGTATATATATATATATATATACACACAAACATATATATATATGTATATATAAACATACACACACACACACAATATGCATACATGTATGTATGCACCTGTACGCTTTGTGTTAATGGTGCAGTTTATTAGACTTTCTGTGCTACAGATGAAAGTTTGCACAATTTATACTTCAAATAGTAATTAATGTGGTGCGACAAACACCAGACTTCTGCTGGAGTTTGAGCCCAAGCGAATACGGTTCCCTTCCCTCCACTCATGTCATGCAATGGATAGCAGTCACTTCTGCAGTTATTTATATGACATAGAAGACAGACTGGGGCCACATGAAAGCATGATTGTGAAAACCGGTCTCTTCTGACAATGTAAAACGAGTTGTTTACGATTTTCAGTGATACGATTACGATTTTCAGTGACATAATTCTCAATGACAGGTACTGGATAGATGAGTATCTGTATGTGATTTAGGGGAAAACAAGCTTGTGCTTCATTGCTCATAACACAATTCTGATCTGTGCAAAACAGATGATTACAGTGCTATAAAGATTCCTGCAATTCCTCCACTGATTGGCTTTCAAACTACTGATCACTGTCTCTACACAAAGACAATATCCGGCTATTGTATTCGAATGACAGCACAGTGAAACAGACTATTACCACCTCACAAATGCTGTCTGTCGTGAATACCCCTGAGAGGCAGGTCTGAATTCACAGTCTGAACAGTCTGACACTTTCTAAGCAACAAAATAATATTTAAGAACACATTTTCACATTCTCAAATCTGCTGTTTCTGATATGTTCTTCTGACTCGTACATAAGGCATATTTTGCATATATACATCGGTAATAGGGTGGTGCAGTGGTTAGCATCATACCTCTGGGATCATATCTCTGCTCTGGTTCTGTGTATGGAGTCTAGATGTTCTCCCTGTGTTGTCGTGGGGTTTTCTATGGGTAGTCCAGTTTCCCCCCACAACTCTAAGGTAAATCGGAGCTACTAAAATACCTATAGTAGTGAGTAGTATATCAGTGTGCTCTGCAATGGGTTGGCACCCTATCCTGGGTTGTTCCCTTCCTTGCGCCCGAAGCTTCCAGGATAGGCTCTGGATGCCCTATGACCCTGAACAGGAGAAGTGGGTACAGAAAATGCATGGATGGAAATCAGTAGTAACTGTAATTCAATGGGGCAGGTATTTTGCATTTCCACTGTTGGTGGCTCACTGGTAACATTACTTACAATGTGATCATTGAAACCCATATGGCTGTATGCGGATACAATTTCTTTTTAGGGTTTTTATGGTGCCCAACAGGTCCTCAAAGGTACTAAGGACCCAACCGTGCAATACCTACAACACTTATAAAACTGTCACTAAATAATAAATCATGTCTATCATGTCTCATGAGGTATGATCATGTCTAACTGTTCCATTGGCCAGAAATGTACATTTATATAGGAGACGCTTTTATCCAGTGCAGTTGTGAAAACAGGGTCGGCCAGTCACTGCAGTGTTTGGGGCTTAAGGACCTCGAGCAAAGGCCCAACAGTGAAATCATTGTGCTGACCATGAGTTTTCAACCAGCAACTACGCGAGCAGAAGTACAGTGTCCTGACCCACCAAGACACACACCGCCCCCAGAAACCAAAATCTTGTCTCTTTTCTTCCCTTCAATTTCAGGATTGCATAATGCCTTCCATTTCTCAAGATAGTACTCAAAGCGCCTTTATACTGCATTTCACCCCTAAGCTCTTGACTGCATTCTGATTGCTTATAAGAGAACTCTCACACTATTGCTTTTGGGAAGGATTCACCACTGCTCCCTGCAAGAATTTACATACTTATTTAATCTACATCAGAAGAATGCCTGGAGATTTCGTACACATATATGGTGCTGTCATTGATTTTAATATGAGGCTGTTATTTTCATATCTATTGCTTCTTTCTGAGGTGTATTTCACATTTCTTAAAATGGAGAGTTATGTATTTACGGACACACAGCATTATGCAATGTTCTAACCTTCTATGTGATACGTGCCTTGGAGTCACAGTGTCACCCGTAAAGTATCGGGGTTTACTTTTGGGATTAATAGCTACCCACATTCTTCTTCTGATGTTAATCCTACTGATACTGGGGTTGTGGGAAGGGGATAAGGATCCCTAAATCTTGTGCCCTGGGTGTTTAACGTCCTATACCATCTGCCAGGAGGGAGGTGAGAGAAAAGTGTCTGTGCAGGGAGAGTGGAGTATTATATGATGTGGTCTCCTATTCCAAGCAGGAACGAGTCTGACCCTTGGCTCAGGAACTTTCACTGTAAACTTTTGACACTCAGTGTGACTTTGACTGTAAAGTGTGATTGTTAGTACAGTATGTGTTGTATTGTATTATTTGTATCTGTTAAACCTGCCAGCAATTCTGTACCCAAATAAAGCCTCCATACCTTCTTCCCATTCCTCATTAGTTGGATCACTTTGCTGTCACACACAGAGCAAGATTTACACCTTGGTTTGTGATGTTTTGTCACATTCTGTCAAACAAATTATGAAAAAAAAACAAGAATCAGAACTGCATCTTTGATAATGAAAACAAGACTTGAGACGGGAACTACCAGAAAACACAGTGACCCCAACTCACACTGATCCTAGAACCAGCCCCAGTAAATGGTCTCAACAAACTTAAGGATATGGGGGGAGGGGGGGTCGCACTCTAGGAAGTGGTCAAACCCTTTGATGGTACAAATGTGCATGCTAAAACAAATGCCTGATGGGAAGTCAACTGGGCTGTGAAATAGAAAAGCCACCTCTTCCAGCCAATGACTGAGGCCCTGTGCATCAGACACTGCACATATACAGTCTAGGTGGAAGAGGGAAAACCAAAATGTCTTTAATGGTTTCGGTTCATGGGTATTTAAGCACTGGTGAGAAGATTTCAGAGACGTGCCCAGATTGTCAGACAACAGCCCCAAGTGTCATTTAAAGGTCTCTTGATACTTTTTGCTATAATTGAGACATTTGCCTAAAAAGCTTGTAAACCAGGCTGCTCGCATGTCATCGTAATTGCAGATAACAGTGCTCGATACCCTAAGGCAGTTCTCCAGAAGCAACCCAGACAGCTAAATACACTAGCATAACTCAAAATGGCATTCAAAACTGTAGCCAAAGCTAAACTGGTGAACTATTATTGAATATACCAGAAAATTACACAAATTTCATTTCACAGCTGTAGAAAAAGGTTGTACATACAAGATGAGCAGTGAACATGCCAATGTGTTTTAATATACAAGACAATGAAACCTGGCCAATAGTGTTTGAGGTTTCATGCATATATAAGCGTGGCCTGGTGGCCAATTTTCACTAATTGCTCAGTCCCTTATTAAGAGCACAGTGTGAAGGTTCAATTAGCGGAGAAACAGCACAGCTGTACATAAGATATTGCAATAACACAACATAATGGGAGACATATCAGACACACAAATTGTTGGTGTGCATCTCGCTGGTGCATCTGAGACCAGGACAGCAAGTTTTTGTGGTGTATCGAGAGCCACGGTTTCCAGGGTAGTATTGGTATACCAGATATCTGGGTACTAACCCAGATTGTATCCAAAAAACATAGAACCACAGCTACCCAACTCACCGCAGAATTAAATGCACACCTTGACTCTCCTGTTCCCACCAAAACTGTTCGTCGGAAGCTCCAAAGGGACAATATTCATGGTCACACTGCTATGGCCAAACCTTTGGTCACTCGTTCCAATGTCAAGTGGTTTTAATAGTACCAGTGCAAATCTTTGACTGTGGACAATGTGAAACATGTCTTTCCCACATTTGGGAGAGTTATGGTGTGGAGAAGCCCCAAAGAGGCTTACCGCCTGGACTGTTGCGTACTCAGAGTGCAGCATGGGGGTGGATCAGTAATGGTTTGGGCTGTAATATCGTGGTATTCCCTAGGCCAACTACTTGTTTTAGTGGGGCATGTTAATGCCATTTACTACCAAACCATTCTGGAGAACCATGTTCATCTAATGGTTCAAACGTTGTACCCTGAAGGTGTTGCTGTGTTTCAGGATGAAAATGCACAATAAACAAAGGAAGACTGGTGACAGAGTGGTTTAAAACATGAAAGTGAAGTTGAACATCTCCCATGACAAGCACAGTCATCAGATCTGAATATCATTGAGCCACATTGGGGTGTTTTGGAGGAGCGAGTCAGGACACATTTTCCTCCACCAGCATCATGTAGCAACCTGACCTCTGTTCTGCATGAGGAACGGCTCTGGCCATGGGTCCCTCTGGCCACTGCGCAGGACCCATATCTGTCCCAAGATGAACTGATGCTGTAAGCCTCAAAAAGAGGCCCTACAT